AACTGGGCTTGGTGGGCCAGCTTACTGCCCGTAAGCCAGGGAAAGAGACACTGCTGAGGTCTAACTTGTTTCAGAGGGCAAGGGACGGGGAAGCAGAAGGCCAGGAGGGACTTGCTGCCCCTTGGAGAGAACAGTCAAGTTTCTGAAGAAGTTTTAGGCTAAGAGTATAGGTTGAGAGCCTCAGGAGGAGGCTTCCACAGCTCTGGATTGATTGGAGAGTAAAGACTCCAAAGAACTAGGTGTAGGTTCTAGAATAGAAGGTTCTAGAAATGCACTTGCATTGTGCCCTCAAAGGTATCATCTTAAGCACTGTCATCTCTGAGAATATCTTACCAGATTCACCCTATCCAGTGCTGTGTTCTCCTTTTGTGGGATGAGAAGGCATATGACGGGCTAGCACCAGGATGAGGCTGCTGTGGGCCACTTTGAATAGAAAGGTCTTTTCATTATTTTGAGAGAGAGTGGGGGTGGGGTGGGGTGGGGCACCATGAAGGTTTTGCATCTCCTGGAGCTGAGGTGACAGGTGAGCCACCTCATCTGGATGCTGGAAACTAAACTTGGGTCCCCTGCAAGAACAGAATGTGTTCTTAATTCCTGAACCATTTCTTCAGCTCCTATACAAGGTCTTTAAAGAAACTATGAAGGTTAAGTCTTCCAAGAATATCAAGAGGTCAAAAGAGATCAGCTGCTGTTTCATTCTTTGAGGAGATACCAACCAAGGTCATTATTAAATGAGTCAGGAATGGCAAGAGTCCAGGATCCTCTGATCTGGACTTCCTCTACTGCAGTGGTTCTCAACCTGTGGGTCTCAACCCCCTTGAGGCTGTCAAGCAACCCTTTCATAGGAGTCACCACAGACCATCAGGAAACATAGATATTTACATTATGATTCATAACAGTAGCACAACTACAGTTATGAAGTAGCAATGTAATGACATTTTTGAGAATTCTAGAATTTTTGTTTCCTTTAAAAAGAAACCCACAGACATATTACAAGAACACACTCTCTTTTTAATCCCAGATATAGGGATGTGGGGCACTTCAACTGTCCACAGCAGCTGACCATGATTTGCCTCGTGCTCTAGCAGAGGTGTGGTTTTGCCAGCTGCAGATAATTTCTGCAATAGTGTGACACTTGGAATTCTGAGAACTTTTCAGAGGATACATAAATGTGAGGTGACCCAAGAGGTGGAAGAAACAAAAGGAAAGAAATTTAGAACCAGGGAATCAATCTCTCTCTCTCTCTCTCTCTCTCTCTCTCTCTCTCTCTCTCTCTCTCTCTCTCTCTCCCTCTCTCCTCCCCACCTCCTCTTTCCTAGTTTCTCTCCTAATGTTAGGGGGTAAAACAGTGGTGGTGGAATAAAGGATGGGAAAAAGAACCCACAAAGTAGTAAAAGACCAGCTACAGCAATGAAAATAATTTTATGGTTTGAGGTCACCACAACCTGAGGAACTGTATTAAGGGTCACAGCATTAGGAAGGCTGACAGCCACTGCTCTGCTGGGTCTTGATTTTGTTTTTAAAGATTTATTTATTTTATGTATGTGAGTACACTGTAACTGTCTTCAGACACACCAGAAGAGGGTGTCAGATCCCAGAGGGTGTCAGATGGTTGTGAGTCACCTTGTGGTTGCTGGGAATTGAACTCAGGACCTCTGGAAGAACAACCAGTGCTCTTAACCAATGACCCACTTCTCCAGTTCCATTCTTATTCTTTCTGGATCTTGATTTTTGACCCAAACCAGACCTGCTGCATGAAGCCTGCCACACCTGGGGCTTCCTGCAGATTTGAACACATCTTCAGGGGAAGCAAATGTCACTGCCTCAGACTATTCCTCAGGCCATGGGAACTGCCACTACTTCTTGTTTTCAACTCCAGAGTCACAGCTGACATTTACTTAGCATGTGACATTTGCCAATTGCTTTTCTAAGTAGTCAGCTATATCCTCCTGGTCATGTCTCACTCCCTGAACACACGGAAGTGCCAAAGGTAGTTCATACTCAGAATTTCAAATCTGAATGCAACGGTGCAATACATGTTTTACAGATGATGAACTGAGGCCCAGTAGTGGCAGAGTCCAGGCCAAGTGTGAGATGTCTGGTGTGAACTGGAGGGGCCAGCATTGGCTAGCGGGCAGCTGTCCTGAGAGTGCTCGTAAAGTAGGGTCTAATAAGCCTAGAGGTCTAATGAACCTCAGAAACTTCTTCCTGCACTGAGATCTATAGGTAGATGTGGAAGGCTTTACACCAAGGTGTTGGGAAAGCCTGGCCTGAAATGTCAGATGTGTCCTCTCATCGACCTCGTGACTTTTTGGAACAAATAGCTCATAGCTACAGCCATTGAGTGTGTGAGAGAGAAGAAATATAGAAAATGTGGACTCAGTAACTGTCCTGTGGGTAATCTGGAGCTTAGGTAAACAGAAATTACTCCTGGGGGATTGAATACACAGGTTAGCTATCTGGGAGGTAGGAGGGCTGTAGGTATGTGAGTGACAAGGTGAAGGTGGGTGGCCATTTTACATCTAGAGAACAAAAGGGAAGATCATGTGACTCTACCTTGGCCCAGCAGTGCCACTGTTGTCTACTCAGAGTCTCTCAGCTGTGAGGGCCCCTTCCACCGTCCTGGCTACCACCCGTGTCAGAACCCAGATGGAAGCTAGTGACTACTAAGCTGTGTGGTAACAGTCCAGATCCAGAAAGATACCTTCCTTTTGCAATCTTCTTAAAAAAAACCTAATTTTTAAATTTTTTTGTGTATGAGTGTTCTGTCTGTCTGTCTGTCTGTCTGTCTGTCTGTACACCGTGTGCATGTCTGGTGCCTGTGGAGTTCAGAAGGGTACCAGATCCTCTGGAAATGGTGTTCAGCATGGTTGTCAGCCACCATGCGTGCACTGGGAACTGGAACCAAACCTGGGTCCCCAGTAAGAAGAGCAAATAAGTGTTCTCAACCACTGAGCCGTCTCTCCATCACCCACAGTCTTTTTTTTTTTTTTTTTTAAGATTTTATTCTTGTCAGGCATGGTGGTCACCTTTAATCCCAGCACTCCAGAGGCAGAGGCAGGTGGATCCCTGAGTTTGAGGCCAGCCTGGTCTACAGAGAGTACCAGGGCTACACAGAAAAACAAAAACTAAAATAAAGATTGTGTGTGTGTGTGTGTGGTGGGAGATATGTGCACTTGAGTGTGGATACCTGTGGAACTTAGAAGCTTTGGTTCCACCTGGAGATGGAAGCTGGCACTGACTGTGAGCTGTCCAACATGGGAGACAGCAGGAAGTGTTCCTAATCACGGAGCCATCTCTCCAGTCCCTTTGCGTTGTCTTGTCCTTCTTCCTAATCGGCATCCTTTCTAGTCTATCAGCTCCACTGAATTTTACCCAGCACCTCATGTGCTGGGCCTTATGCTGAACAATAAAAGTAAAGATTAAGTTGTGATACATGCTGGGCAGCTTGTATGTTGGGGGCGGGGATAACTGACCGCTGTGGCAGTGGAGGAGCACAGGACCAGCAGACGTGTTGGACTGCAGCCAGAGCACTGCCAACGTCCATGGCAAGGCTTTTCAGGGTGGAGAGAGAGGTGGGGCAGGAGAGGAGAGTGGTCTGGGTGTGAGCATGGAGAAGCCCTCCTTCCCTAGTAGCTACCCAAGTTAGTCCTCTCTCTCTGCTTTCTAGCGTCTTCCTAGGCCATGACCCAGAATGCCTCACTCTTGCTCAAATATGTCCTGTCTTTCTCTCTCGGGCTCTATCCTCACAACAGAAATAGGTCCAAGTCCTTCTCGCCGTAGAAAAAGAATATTGGCCCTCAGTGTTGGCCTCTTGGACCCCTCAGCTTGCTGCCCTTCCAGGATCCGTTCAACCACAGCTTAATTTGTACATCTAACGGATGCTGTCAGCCTAGATTCCTGATACTTCACTGCTTCCCCTTACTCAACAGACTCTGGGCTTTTTTTGCTTTCAGAATGCTACCCATAACTTTCTCTTGTTTACACACATCTGGGTGATTTCAATCTCTGGTTCTTTGCAGGTGCCAAGTCTTCCTGGCATGATCCTCCCCCAACTCTCCCAGGCAAAAGCTCTTACCTAACCTTGCTTTCTTGGCATCAAACCCAAACCCCTTCGTAGCATTTCCTATATCCTGTAGAGCGGCTGATTTTTACTTTTTTATTCACCTCTTCCCAGGCTTAGAGGCTTTAGTTGCACCTGGGGCTGGACATACCAGCGGGTACTGTGCAGCCCAGGTTGCTAGGACATGATCATCTTGATTCCCAAACTCTTGTTGATAGGTTGAACATGTATCCCTGATAGGCATGGTCATGTGTACGTTTAGGAGTCCACAAATTAGGGGCTTTGAGTATGTTTTAGGCGTTTAGTGTGTGACCAATGTAGAACATGACAATACCTGTGTGACTGCTGCATAAGGTGTGCTGGGGCTGTGTTTTTGTTTGTTTGTTTGTTTGTTTGCTTGTTTTTCCCCCAAGACAGGGTCTCATTCTGTAGCCCAAGCTATCCTAGAACACACTATGTAGACCAGGATGGCCTCGAATTCATAGGGATCTACCTGCCTCTGCCTCTCCAGAGCTGGGATTAAAGGCGTGCGCCACTGCTCCCGCCTGGTGGAGTTTTCTGCAGTTGGAAGCCGAGTCCGAATACTCTCGAGAACAGCGCTTGCGCAGACGGTGTCTGGCGCAGCAGCAGTACTCACACTCGTCTTGTGAAATGGTCACCCGACCGCTGGGGTACCCGGCAGAGCACAGGAAGGAGTTGGTGTACCTAGGCTCTCTAGGGAGTGGAGCGTGGGCGGAGCTAACGTGAGGGACAGAACTCTGACCAATCAGCGTGGAGATCGTATGGAGGCGGGGCCAAGCTGCCTCGCGCCAGGCCGCAATTGGCCAAAGGGCTGCGGGGATGGGCTTGGGGTGCTGCTCCGCCTACTCCGGGACGCTTGGGGCATAGAGGGCGGCGCCCGGGCCGTGGCGGCGGCGGCTCCTCAGGTAAACGGCTTGTTAAGGCTCATCTTTGGTGGCGGGGTCCAGGCACCCTTTGGAGAACTTGAACCAGAGAGCCTAGGGGCCTTTCCATCTGCCAGCAGCAAGAGACGCTGTGTCAAGGCGCGCCTCCCCAAGGTCAGCGGGCCGGTGCCAGGAGGTCCTGGGAGATCTCAGGTGTGCTCAGCGGGCCAGGCTTCGCGTGTTACACCTGGAAGGGATCTCGGAGCTTGCGATTTAATTCTGGCTTGTCAGACATCGGCACGTGGTCCCCGGACCCTGTCCCTGCTGTCTGGTGGGTCGCGTGGTCCATGTCCTAGTCCCTTCCGGGAACTCGGTGACTCAAGACCCTAGTCCTCTGGTGGGCTAGGGGCTACGTGTTCAGGTCTTTGAGCACAACTGGGCCATTGGCGTTTCTGTCTCTTTCATAAAACTGAGCCTTAATTCAGAGACTTGCAAAGCCGGTGCACACCACAGCCACTAGTCTTTCTGTGTTCTCTTTGCCGATTAAAGGAGGCGGTGTAGAGCAGGAAAGTGATTTGTCCGGAGTCACGAGGATTGCTGGCCCCAGAGAGAAGGCCACAAAACTCAGAGTATAGAATTCAGGCAAGGTGAGAGCTAGGTGAGGTTGAGCCAGAGCTAGCACTCCAGGTTTGGGGCTCCGATTTCCAGCCAAGTCAGTGTAGTTATACAGCAATACTTTACCCTGTACAGAGCTCAGGGTAGGTAATGGATGGAGCCATAAACTCGAGTGCCATGAGTAAGCATAAGGAGCTGCAGGAGAGAGATAGAGGACAGCATCTGGAGACCTGAGGCTGTGAGCTGGAGGTGCTGTTGAGGCAAAGGCCAACTCTGAGGGGTTGCTAGTCTTGGTTGGGGGCAGGAAACACTTTGAAAGGGGATGGTAGTAGAAATGGAGATGAAATAGAGGAACAGCCTGCGACCTAGTTAATTAAATGGTGAAAAAAATCAGGAAATAGGTGGGGCGGGGCAGAGGTGAAGGTGAAGGGTTAAGTCTTAACTGCTCTGCTGAGCTTGATTGGCCATGATCATCTAGACAGAGACCCCCAGCAGACACAGGGTTGATGGGGTGCGAGAGCAAGAGATCCTATGCAAATCACTGGCTGTGGGATATTTCCTTGGAGCATGTGTTCATGACTTGGTTGGCTGTGCAGTCTCTGCACCTGCAGGCCAGGGAGGTGCTTCTGCCATCAGGCTTTACTCTTAGGCCTTAGGGTGAGCCTTGTGGCTCAGATGAGGAATGTCTTTCTGGTCTCTAATGTCAAAATCGAATGGCTGAGGTCTAGCTGCCTTTGCTAACTTGAAACTGTTGTCCAGACAACTGTCCTACTCAAACCTGTGTCTTGTCATACCTCCCTCCGTCAGAGTTGACTGTTGAGGGACACCAGAGGCCAGAGGTGGGACCTGTGCTCGCCTCTGTTCAGTCATCTGTGTGTGTTTGGGGATGGGGGAAGCGGCAGCTGGAGGTTGTAGAAGTTCTCAGAGGCCCAGGTGAGAGGCAGAGTCGCTGCTGGCTGATGAGCAACTCCAGGCCTCCTGATCGATGGCTTTTTTACTGGGCTGAGTTGTTTTGAGTCCAAAGACATCCTTGCCAGTGTCAGGGTACACAGCTTGATCCACCTTGGGAAGTAACACCAGGAAGGGTTTCTGTGGCTCTTGTAAGTACTTGACTTCTGAGTAGCATATGGGTGATGCTTTCTTCCCTGACCTGCAGGGTCTCCTTGCTTTGGTGATTTGCATGTAAGCCCAGTTTCATGTGCTTTATTTGAAAAATCATATTCTTAGTGGATCATAAGCAGTGAGCTCCTGACTGTATTACCCTCAGACACCATTTCGGGTTCTCACTGGTTACTCTAGAAGCTGACCCTTCTCTAGCCCAATTCCTCCCAGGTAAGGCATTCTGTGACTGCATGTGCCTGGACACCACCCCCACTTCCACCTCTCACTCCCCACCCCCCCATCGTTTGCTTATCATTACCTTGGGGCTAGATTATATCTCAGACCCAGCCCAGGAGGAATTTGCTAAATGTTCACGTGCATACTGGTCCTCTGTTCATATAAATGTAGGTGCTGTGAACTGGGTGTGGTAGTGCACACCTGCAAAAAATTGGGGAAAAAAAAAAGACAGAAAAACTCTCCTCACACTCTGTCACTCATACCAGCACCTAGCACCAAAGATGGTCCTTGTCCTTATCCTGTCAGACGTGCACAGAGCTCACCACTGCCTGGCTTCACGCCCAGTCAGAGCCTGTGAGTATATGACTACAGGTGCTGGACATCAGTCGCTGGTGGCTGTGCAGGAAGCACGGCTAAGGCTGTCAGGCTCTAGAGCCATGTCCTTAACTGTCCGCTTTTCCACACTCAATCAACTTTGGAAAGACATGCAGGACATGCACTTTGTCAGAAGGGATAGGTAGCACAGACTCTGTGTCTGTGGTTATCTTTTCTGAGAATTCCTGTGTGTCCTTTTGCCTGTTTGTTTTAGTAATATACAAGCTATATTTCCACACTAATTTTTAAGTAGACTAGCCTCCTGTTACACATTTGTTCAACATTTACCCAATTATTTGTTTATACGTTTGTTGTTTATTGAGATAGGATCTCTCTATTATGTAGCCCTGGTTGTCCTGAACTTTTTTTTTAAAGAATTATTTCATTTATATGAGTACATTGTAGTTGTCTTCAGACACAACAGAAGAAGGCATCGGGTCCCATTACAGATGGTTGTGAGCCACCATGTGTTGCTGGGAATTGAACTCAGGACCTCTGGAAGAGCAGCCAGTCCTCTTAACCGCTGAGCCATCTCTCCAGCCCCCTGAAACTCTTTATGTAGACTAGGCTGGCCTTGAACTCACCAAGATCCACCTGCCTCTGCCTCCCGAGTGATGGGATTAAAGGCATCTGTCACCCCTTTATATTATTTTTAAGACATTAATATTTATTTTTTTATTATTTATTTAATATTTATTTATTATGTACCTGATGTATGTGTGAGTACCTGAGTATATATGTATGTATGCCATATATGTGGAGGGTCTGTGGGAAGTAAGAAGAGGGCATGGGATTCCCTAGAATTAGAATTACAAGTGGTTATGAACCACCATATGGGTTCTGGGAACTGAACTTGAGTTTTCTCAGTAAGGGCTTTTGACAGCTCAGGCATCTTTCCAGCCTCAGTTACTATCTTCTAAAATGGCTATTCTAGTTTTGTCGTTTTGGTTGGTGGTTTGTTTGTTTCTGTTTGGTGCTGGAGACTAAACCCAGAGCCCTGTGCATACTGGGCAAGTATTCTATCATTGATCCACCCTCTCGCCCTGATTATAGCCAGTCTAAAAGGTTGGAAGGGTAGCTTATTGTATGTCCACTCCACCGTAAATTAGAAGAACATTAATTAATTCTAGTTTTTCAAAACAGGGTTTCTCTGTGGGGCTTTGGATGTCCAAGAACTTGCTCTGTAGACCAGAGTAGCCTTGAACACACAGAGATCTACCTGTCCCTACCTCCCAAGTGCTGCCACCAGCACCCCCACTCCCACCTGGCTGTATCTCTTAACTCTATAAAGGACTTACTTTGAAGTAAGAGAAGACATGAGTTCTTTTTGATTAAAGTCCTACTTTGGCCATTAATAATTTTTGTTCTTTTTTTAAAGATTTATTCTTATTTATGTGTATATTTGTATGTATCTGTTTGTGTGTATGTACACACTTCAGGCATTCCTGTGCAAGGCTCCAGATCCTCTAGAGCTGGAGTTACCTATGGATGGGGTGCTGGGAACTGAACTCGGGCCTTCAGGACGAGCAGTGAGTACTCCTGACCGCTGATCTCTTCTTTCAGGAACAGTTAAATACTTTTATATTTATTTTATTCTACATGTATAAATGTTTTTGTCCACATGAATATATGTGTACCATGTGGGTGCCTGGTGCCTGTGGAGTTCAGACAGGGCATCCGATCCCCAGGAGCTCGAGTCATGGATGGTTGTGAGCCACCGAGTGGATGCTGGGAATCAAACTCCTGTCCTCTGAAAGAGCGTATGTGGCTTTCACTGCCGAGCATGTCTCTGGAGTCCCAGGAAACAGATTTTTTGTTATTTTAACTTCTGTGTACACAAAGATACAAATCAAAACCTTGACCCTGCTCATTGGGGCACACTGAGCATTCATACTTAGTGCTGATCCAATTCGTCTGTTCTTTGTGAGCAAAGGGTCGTGGGAATGTCCAGCACAGCTCAGGGCTTCCTGAGTGGGAAGGACAAGACAGGCTACTTACTGGCTTGGACACAGTGGAGCTTAGCTCAGAACCAAAGCTACCAGCCTAATGCCTAGGACGTGAGGTGGGCTCAGGGGCAACATCAGAAAATTAATATAGTAGAAATACATACATAGATCTGTTAGAGAAGTATTAGTATTTTTGAGCAGGATATCTTAGCAGCATTTAATAGTTTTAGTGTGTCCTCAAGCACCTATTTTGTCATTTATTCCTAAAGATGTTGTGTAACAACTTTTTAAAGATTTATTTATTTTATGTATGTGAGTACACTGTCACTGTCTTCACACACACCAGAAAAGAGCATCAGCTCCTGTTACAGATGATTGTGAGCCACCATGTGGTGGCTGGGAATTGAACTCAGGACCTCTGGAAGAGCAGTCAGTGCTCTTAACCGCTGAGCCGTCTCTCCAGCCCGATGTTGCATATTTTTGTTATGCTCTCCAGCAAAAGGTCTGACTTTTTCAGCTGTTGTTAGTACGTAGAATAGAGTGATACTGTGTAATGCCTCTGTACTCTATGACCTCTGTGAGGGATCTGATTCTGCTCCCAACTGTAGATTCTGTAGGGTTTTTTTTTTTTAAATAAAATGTATTGCCTGTCAATACAATTTTTAATTTTTCTTTCTCCTCCTTTTCTTCCTCCTCCTCCTCCTCCTCCTCCTCTTCCTCCTCCTCCTCTTCTTCCTCCTCATTTTCTTCTTCTTCTTCTTCCTCTTCCTCTTCCTCTTCCTCTTCCTCTTCCTCTTCTTCTTTTGGGACAGGGTCTCAATGTGTAGCCACAGCTGGCCTCTCAATGTAGACCAGGTTGACCTCAAGTTCACAGAGATTCACCTGCCTTTGCATCCCATAATGCACAGCCACACCTGGCTACTTCTCAATTTAAGTGTCTTGTCCTGTTTTTTCCTTGCCTTTTATTATGCCAGCCTAATTTTTCAACATGGCCTTGGCAACATGTCCTTGGACAGAGGTGGTACAGTCTGAACTTGGTCTTTTTTCTCACCTTACATACTCAGACATGGTTTCTCACCAGTGATGCTGATCTCTCCCCCCGCCCCTTCTCTTTCTCCTCTTCCTTGGGTACCAGTAGCCCTGGTATTAGCCACCCTGGCTGGTTAGGAATTCACTGTTACATCAGTTACTTTTCCATCGCTGTGGTAAAACATCATAACTAAGGCAGCGTATAGAAGAGAGGGTTCATCTGGACCGGTGGTTCCAGGGGGTTAGAGTTAATGATGGAGCTGAGGCCTCTGTGGCAGGAGGCTCACATCATGAACTGTAACAAGGAGCAGAGAGAACCAGCTGGGATAGGCTTGGCTGCTGGGCACTGATTTTGTTCTTCTGTGCACTGTTGTCGGTTCCTCTTGGCTTCGTCTTGCTGTTCCTTTTCCAGTGACTCTAGGTAATGGTGTCTATCATGCTTCTTGTGTGTCTTGTAACCTTTGAACTCTTCATAATGTGCTAAGTTATGCTGTGTGAGGATCAACAGTTCCAGGTCCTGAGCCTCGAATGGGTGTTGGATCTGAGTTAAGGAGACTGAGGTTGCCACTCGTGTATTAGCCTTCCCATCCTCCTTCTTGCCCTTGAGCAGCATTTGTAAGCACAGCATCTCCTGTCACTCCGGCTTGATGCAGACATGCCGGGTAATGAAGTCCTGCTCTCAGCTCCTACGACTGATGTCTTTGTTGTGAGCGTGCGGCTCTGTCTCTAGCTGGTCTATCTCTAGCGTGTTGATGACCTTCTGGAAGAACTGATGGTAGTGCAGGTCTGTGTCTAGGCTCTCAGTGGCATGGCTGACCTCCTAATTGGGTGACCTGTGTGTGCTTCAGTACATCAGCTAGAATGGTACACCACATCAGAAGTGCTGGTAAGAAGAGGAAAGGGCTCTGTGGGGGCACACAGGGAGGCCGAGAGGGAGGTGGCTCTGTGGGGGCACACAGGGAGGCCTGAGGGGGAGATGGCTCTG